GTTTGCCCCTGCGGGGTTGTGGGGTGGGGGGGCTGTTGGTGGAAGCCGCGTTTCGGGGCACTGGGAGGGCGCTGGTGGCCGTGGGGGGCTGTGTGCGTGTCGTGGGCGCTAAGCCAGAAAGGGTGGGAGGGAGGTCGGGCAGGGTCGCTCAAGGTTCCCTGCTCCCTTTGCTTCCACGGAAGCAGGCGGGCGATGCGGGAGAATGCCGGCAGCCCGAGGAAGATGAAGATGTAAACGGGGTCACGGGCCGTGTGCGGAGAGGGGTACGGCATCAAAGCTGTTGGGATAACCTCCGATTCCCTGCAGGTATCCAAACCGCTGGGAGTGGCCACCGAAGATGAGGTAGGAAGAGATGGATGCATCTCCTTACTGCTCTTCTCCTCAACGCCGTTTGATGTTTTTCCCATTCCTTCATACTGGTCTTTCCTTCTGACGAGCCCGTTGCTTCCGCTCGTGCTCCGTGGCTCTGCTATGAGCATGAGCGAAATGATGATGATGATGCTACGAGTGTCTTCTGTGCTATGTCTGTAATCCATCTCCATCTTCGGCAGCTGGTTGGAGAGTTCCTGCAAGAGCAGAATGCCCCTCTACTGTCCCGTGCCCCCCAGACGTTTAAGATGGATGACCTGTTGGCCGAGATGCAAGAGATTGAGCAGTCAAACTTCCGACAGGCCCCTCAGCGAGGTGAGCGGAGCTAGAGTAGGTGGAGAGCTGGAAAAGATCCCGGTGTTATGGTCACGCTCCTAGCAGGGTGGTTCCCCTCGATTCAGCACTTGTGAGATTGTATCTGGAGTGTTGTTGCCACGTTTGGGCTTCCCAGTTACACCGGCATAGTGGAACAAGTCCAGTGGAGGTCAGTAAGGTGTTCAGGGACTGGAATACATGGTGTAAGAGGAAAATCTGAGGGAATTTGGGTTGTTCAGCCTGGGGAAGAGGAGACTAACAGGTGAGGGGGGGAGTGTGTGTGTTGTCTAGTTGCTGTCTTCAGCAGCCACGGCCAGGATCTTCACAAAAGGACAAGGGGCAATGGACACAACTTGTGGAAAGGGGAACCGACTAGATGTAAGGAAACATTCCTTCCCTTGGAGGTTTTTTCAGGTGCCTAAAGGCTGGGGAATTGGCCTTGGACAAGTTCAGAAGTGACCTGATGAATGCCCTGAGCAGCCTAATCTCTAGTTCTAGTGTTAGCCTGCTGTAAGAACAATAGCAACCTCCAGAGATTCCTTCCAAGTGGAATTTTTCTGTGATTTTATTCTAACAAAGAAGGGGAAAGATCAGAGACGATGTTGGGCTTATCTTGGGACACTTAAATGATGCCTTTGAGTCCTCCGATCTTCACTTCTGTTTTGTTTTTTTTTTTTTTTTGCTTGTAGCTCCCGGTGTGGCAGCCCTGGCACTATCCGAAAACTGGACCCAGGAATTCTTGGCTGCAGCAGATAGTGCTGGTGACGCCTCTTCAGATTACAATGAGGCTGACTGGTCACAGGAGTTCATTGCTGAAGTGACAGGTGAGAGTTCCCTTTTGGAATTACTGTCAAGACGTTGCCCAGCCATGTGCCTGTGTATAGTGGAGAGTTACTGGATGTGAAACTGGAGCCAAATTATGATGATTCAACTAATGCAAATTGTGGAGACAGTCTGGTGCTGTTTCTTGCTTACATATTCTCTAATTCCTTCTCTTAAGGCTAAATTTGCCTTTAGTACAAAGGTAAATATTGTTTAGTGTGCTTTGGCCGAATACTTTTTGTTAGTTTCGTGGAGGTGGAGGGATGTTGCACCTTGGAAATGTGCAAAGTGAATGTTTCTGGCCCAAAGGTTAAGCTTTTTGTTTCAAGCAAGCCAGTAGTTTATCTGAAAAGTTGTGCTGCATTGTGTGTAGGGCTGGGGCTGGAATAGGGTCCTGTTACCATCCGTGACCTAATCTGGAAGTTACGAGTAAAATTCAAGTAGATGCTATTCTCTTCTCCAGGAGTGGCCACTGTAGAGAGCCAGGTAGTCCATTCTTTGAGGTTCACTCCTTACACTTCTGGGAACATAAATCAGTGTTTACCAAGGTCTTTGAGAAGGTTCTGGTGAAAACCTAGTGCTCTGTAGGCTGTGCTTTTGACAGGGACTTGTAATGCATTACTGATTTTCTTGACCTGCGTTGTATCCTGCGTGGAGCAGAGAAATAAGTTGCGAAATTAAAGTAGAAAATCCGAAGGTTCTTGGCACCACAGTGGCATCTGTTATAATACACCGTCTGAACCCAAGGTTTGATTTTCAGATCAGAATAAACAAAGTTAGAAGAATCGAGTGTAAACAAGCTTTCTTTGAAGAGGTCTTCTCCGTGTGCTAGCTAACGGTGTGTCAAGTAGAGAGAGCAAAATCTGAAATTAATCTGAGCGATGGTCTGCCTGTCTTACTCTTCTCCCCATTCTTCCTGATGCCCTGTGCAGATCCACTGTCTGAGTCTCCTGCCAAGTGGGCAGAAGAATACCTGGAGCAGTCGGAGGAGAAACTGTGGCTTGGGGAATCAGAAGACCCGTCGTCGGTGGATAAATGGTGAGTCTGTCTTCTTGAGGCTCGTCGCTGCTGCTCGGCACTTCGCTGGGGTGAATTTGGGTAGGTGACAGCAATCTGCTGTGGCCTGAATGCTTTTGAGTCCTTGAACCTAGACTGATGTTCTCAGGCCTTTGGTTTCAGAGGAAGGAGGAAACAGTGCTTGTAGACTGAAGTTCTTAAGAGATCCTAGCTTTTCCGTGTTCTGCTTCCAGGGAGGTGTTGTGGTAGTGTAGGCTAACTGAATCTCATGCCTAATGTAAAGCTCCTTAAAGCAATTTCAGGAGTGAGTTCAGGAACTCCTGATCAAGCAGAACTTTTTTCCACAACAGATGCTTTTTTAGATTTGGAGATCTCAAGTTCTAGACCTTACTAATTGTAAACTTTCATTGCTTTATTCTCCCTATCTGGCAAATCACATCGAGCCTTTCCTCCGCATGTTTCTACATTCAGCCTTCCAGATGTTATTTTCATGTGGTAAATTAAAGAACAGTCTGGATCTTCTCTCTGTGGGTGCCTGTTGACTGCAGTCAAGTTTTTCCATTAAAGAAGTAAAACACAAGGAAGCGAGTTGGGCTTCTTAGATCTTTCTCTAAAAGAGATTTTGTGTATTTGGATTCTCCTTCCTCCTGGCTCTTGCCTTTTCTGATACCTTTCTGCAAACATAGACATTCCTGAGTTATTGCTGCCCATTCCAAAGACTTCACCAAGACTGAATGTGGTGGTAACACCTGGAAACTGGTCCTGTCCTGGTGTGAGCCAGACAACATATGGAGTTGTGTGCTTGCTGCGAGCCCTCAGTCCTCTGTGGAGCTGATGGTTTTCCAAGATACTGTTCCTCTTCCATGAGTACGACCTACTTAGTTTGTAGATACATGACCTTGTTTTTGGTAGTGCTAAAACTTGCAATGATAGCATGTGAGCTTGCTGAGGGATCCAGACTGTTCTGCAGAACTCTGCTGCCAGTGTAGTTGTTTAATTCTGCCCCTGCTTTTGTCAGTCACTTGTGCAGTTAACCTAGTAGTAATTTTGAATTTTTATAGATGGAATCACTTAGAAGAACTGCAGTCTTTGAGGAGGGGTTGTATCCCTCAATACTGTTCTCTGGCCCATTGTATAGGCTGGTGTTTGTGGCAAAGGGCGCCCTTTTTTTTTTTTTCCCTCTTACTGCCTCTCAACACAGGTATGAGGAATATCAACCTGAGGATGATCTTAAGAAAACTGTTAGTGATTTCCTCTCTAAAGTGGATGATCCAAAACTCAAGAATTCTGAGGTAAGAAATTCCCTGACTGGGGCTGACAGGTATCTAGTGTGAGTAAGGGGTGTGGAGGAATTGTGAAGGGGGAAGACAGTAAAGGAATAAAGCCTCCTGCTGTCCCATGTTTCCATTTCTCCCCTGATTCCTAGAAGTTGAACCCTACAATCCACTCTAGATATGATCCATCTCTACCACGTGACTCTGGTGAAGTCCCGTCCTCCTCACCTTTTTGGGCCTTTTGTGCTCACTTTGCAGAGAGAAGTCCTTTTAGTGAAGGAGTGGGGGGCATGGGCAGAGGGCTTGTTGCCAAAGCATCTACCCAGCTCCACCCTTGTTTCGTTTCTCTGCCACAGTTCCTAAAGTTTGTCCGCCAGATCGGAGATGGGAGGGTATCGATCGAAGCTAATCAGGTGACCCACAGAGACCAAGATCAGGCAGAGCAATGGGCAGCTGAGTTTATACAGCAGCAGGTAGGAGCCCCAGCCCTGTGTGCTTTGAAGGAGGAAAGCTTTTTGCCAGGGTGCGCAGTCTGGGAGCGAGGGAGAACGGCAAGTCCCACTCTCAGCAATGCTCTACTAATGGTTAGGCTGGGGGAGGCGAGGGAGGTGCTGCTGGGCTCTTCGTAGCAGGCTCTAGCCAGAAGTTGGGAAGGTATTTGGGCAGCGTGAGTTTTCCCATCTCCCGTAGCACCTGGGAGGAAGGGGATAGCTAAATGAACTCTTTTCCACTTTCCAGGCCATCAGTTCTTGCTGATGGGGGAGGAGGGCTCGTCACAGACCCTCTTGCTGTTTCGGGATGTGCCCTGAGGTTGCCAAATTCTAAAAAGAAGCATGTGTTTCTGTTTCCAAACTCCCAGGGGGCATCTGATGCCTGGGTGGATCAGTTTGCGCGATCTGGGAACCTGTCGGCTCTGGATACGGAATTTGAGCAGGCAAAGACTGCCGTGGAGGTAAGGCTGATGGAGGGGGAGGCCTGGGGTACCAACTGAGAGCCCACGGTAGGGTTGACTTTCTCCTTTGCGTGCTGTGAGGAGGGCTGGAAACAGTTAAGAGGGTGTTCTCTGGGGTGTCTGCGGAGCTCAGGTTGTGGTCGAGGTACTCTGGTCGCATTCCGTTCTGCCTTCAGTCAGACGTGGACTTCTGGGACAAACTCCAGGCGGAATGGGAGGAGATGGCCAAGAGAGATGCAGAGGCTCACCCTTGGCTCTCTGATTACGAAGACCTCAGCTCCTCGTCGTATGACAAGGTAACAGAGAACAGAGTCCCTCAGCCTTGGCTCTGTGATGAGCTGCCTTGAGGAGACCGGCGGTATGTCTGCCTCCCAGGTGAGCTCCGCAGACCCCGAATTCTCCAAGGATTCCCGCTCACACTGGGCTTTTGCTGTCACTTGCACCCTCATCCCAGATCAGCTAGGGGTTGACCAAATACGATTTTTGCTTGTGCTTGTCTGCAAACGCTGTCTAGTTCTTGTCCAACACCAACTACCAGTTAACACTGGGATTCTTTGCAGTGAGTGCAACTGTTGTTGACCCCCCCCCGCAAGCTGTTAGGACCCACACCGAATGTTTGATCTCTGTTGCAACTTATTCCAGGTCTGGTTTGGGGGAATTTTTCAGCACAGAGCAGGTGGGGAGAAGAGCCATTGTTCTCTGATCTGCTACAAGCTAGCAGAGAGGACGAGTTGCTGGCTGGTCTGCAGTTTGAGTGTTTCTGATGCAGCAAGACTAGACTGTGCTGTACAGCAGAGAGTGTTTTCTCCCCGAGCCCGTCTCCCAGCATTAGTCCCTGTCCATCTCCCCTGCTAGGGTTACCAGTTTGAGGAAGATAATCCCATGAGGGATCACCCGGATGCCTTTGAAGAGGGGCGGAAGCGCTTGGAGGAAGGTGACCTCCCCAATGCTGTCTTGCTCTTTGAAGCTGCGGTGCAACAGAAGCCAGATCATATGGAGGTGAGTGAGAGCAGAGGTAACAGGCCTTGGCCAGGTGTTCTGCTGCTTGGATCCTTCCCTTGTGAGGTTTCAGGGGGTGTGTAGAAGACTCACTTCTGTGTTAGGAGCTGTGCAGGGTGTATGAAAACATCTCCTTGGCTCTGGGTACGTGGCTGATGCATGTGAATCCTCAGGAGGGCTGTGGGCGAGGAGATTTATGGCTGTAAGGTCAGTTACAAAATGCACAGAGGCTCTGGCCCAGAGCTGGGTAAAATCTTGGGAGCACGTGGGACTGTGCATGGAGCTAAGACAAGGAGTTCTCATCTCTTGAGTTCTGTGGAAGTCTTTATTGGGGTTGCAAGTTTGGAGATGTTTTGGCAGATAACTGCTTTCAATATCTATATTTATTAAAGACTAATTCTGAGCAGCTCATGAGATTAGGAGTCCTCGTTAGGTCTTCCATCTAAATGCCAGGAGATGGTGTAACCCAGAAGGGTTGAGTGAGATGACTTGGCTGTCTTCACAGTCTTCATTTGAAGCTGTGGGCCAGAGAATGATTTTTATACTGAAGGTGAGTTTCCAGCTCCTAATTCAGTGAATACTTATTTCTGTAAAGCACTTCAGCTTCTGCAGGATGGATTGAGAAATGGAATAGTCTGCGTGCCTTTCTCCAGAGGTAGAGGACGTGGATCTTCTTAGGAGGAAGAATGCAAATGCACCCATGTTGTCCGTTTCTGGAGTGCCTGCCTCAAGGACCCAGAGATGCTGAATTCTCTGTGTGTCTGATTCAAGCTCTGCTAATTGTGTATGATTGGAAAATACCTAATTTGTTAATCCTGAGTCTTGGATGCGTGACCTCTCGGAACAGAGGTTCTTGGCTTCTGGGAACAGAGACATCTCACTTTCTAGGGTGCTGGGAGTAGGTGAGAAGTAAGCAAAGGTTTTAGAGATCTACTTCAGCTTTAGAAGGCACTGCTGGTGTTCCTTTAGAATGAGCACTCTGTTCTCGTAGGCAGTGTGGGCTGCACGCTTAGCGTAATGGAGCGTGGCCAGCAGGTCGAGGCAAGTGATTCTGCCCCTCTACTCAGCTCTCATGAGACCCCACCTGGAATACTGTGTTCAGCTCTGGAGTCTCCAACACAAGAAGGACATGGAGCTGCTGGAACGAGTCCAGAGGAGGCCACGAAGATGATCCGAGGGCTGGAGCACCTCTGCTCTGGAGACAGGCTGAGAGAGTTGGGGCTGTTCAGCCTGGAGAAGAGAAGGCTCCGGGGTGACCTTATGGCAGCTTTCCAGTACCTAAAGGGGCTACAGGAAAGCTGGAGAGGGGCTTTTTACAAGGGTGTGTAGTGATAGGACAAGGGGCAATGGCTTTAAACTGAAAGAGGCAGATTTAGATTAGATATAAGAAAGAAATTCTTCCCTCTGAGGGTGGTGAGGCACTGGCACAGGTTGCCCAGAGAAGTTGTGGATGCCTCATCCCTGGCAGTGTTCCAGGCCAGGTTAGATGAGGCTGTGGGCAACCTGGTGTAGTGGAGGGTGTCCCTGCCCATGGCAGGGGGGTTGGAACTGGATGATCTTTGAGGTCCCTTCCAACCCAAACCATTCTATGATTCTATAATGGAGAGGCAGTTGAAACCTGAGGGGAAGAAACCTTAGGCCAGTTCTGGCCAGCTGTGTTAAAAACATTCTGAATTCTTCTGCTGTGACTCTACAGAAAGTACAGGAGAAGTCGAGGCTTCACAAGTGGTTCAGTGATCAGATAGACTTGGACAGTTGCTCTGAAGGACATGTCAGGGTCGCTTTGGTCCAAATCACAGCTGTGCCTTGAATCTCAGCTCCTCTGCCCGCAGGACACTGGGCAGTTACCACTGATGAGCTCTCGAGTAGCAGCTGGCTGTGTGGTGAGGCATCAGAGGTTTGAGGCAGTGGGTTGCCTCTTGCTTGGAGTGGCTTGTGCAGTGTGTCTGGGTCTTTGCTAATGAAACACGTTCCTTCCTTGAGGCAGTGGATGCTGCATTTTGTGACTTACGTTCAAAAAACCAGGTACTTCACGCTGACAGTCCCACCAACTGTCTAGCCTATTGTTGAGCAAGCAACATGAACTGGACAGATACTTTGGATGTAGTGCCTTCATTAGATATTCCCTGTGTCAGAAGCCTGGAGGTGAAAGAGATTTTCATGTACTGGTGTTACGATGATTGCAGATAGAATAACAGCACTTCTACTTTCAGGTCTGATGGTCAACTCCCCAAGATTATCACTTGCTAGTGGACCACTGCACAGGTGTATACAGCTGCCTACCTTGGGAGTCTCATTATTAGCACTACTGCTATGCCATTTTGTTCTGCTTTTCCCTCCTTCCCCTGCAGTTTGGCCACAGTTAGAAGTTAAAAGTGGAGATTCTGTGACTTAAAAGCACAAAAAAGCTTTTTTTTTTTTTTTTTTTTATCCTGGAGCTCCAGCCAGGATACATCAGGTTGGATGTTGGAAAGTATTTCTTCTCTGAAAGGGTTGTCAGCCACTGGAACAGGCTGCCCAGGGAGGTGGTCGAGTCCCCATCCCTGGATGTGTTTAAGAATAGGGTGGATGAACTACTTAGGGATATGATTTAATGGGAGATTAGGGACGGTTGGACTGGATGATCTCTAAGGTCTTTTCCAACCTAGAAATCTATGAAATCTATGAAAACTGCCAACAGTTGCTTTATGATAAATCTCCAGGTAGACATTCACTACTTTTTGCTATGGCACCACCAGTTTTGTTGGCCTTGAGGACCTGTGTGCCGTGAAGACTGTAGGTCTTTCGAGAGAAACTCCTCTGTGACTAACGTGCATATATTTGTCTCACTCTAAAAATGTGTAGGATGATACAGAGGATTATCCTGTGGTTTATTGGCTGATCTTCTTCTTTAGATGTGAAAAAGTCTGACTTTGTGCATCTTTGTCTTCTCCAGGCCTGGCAATATCTGGGAACCACCCAAGCAGAGAATGAACAGGAGCTTTTGGCAATCAGTGCCCTCAGACAGTGAGTGTTGCAGAAGAGCTTCTGAGCGTGGCTCCTTGGCTAGTGCAGAGTGCCACAAAGAAAGACCATGTGGCTAGCATGGCGTGCTCTGTCTTGATTGTGTTGCCTCCTGCATCTGGGTGTCTCCAAGACTGATTTAAAAACCGTTTTCACTTTTCTTTCTTTGACCTGCAGGTGCTTGGAACTGCAGCCTGGGAACCTCACGGCGCTTATGGCTTTAGCGGTCAGCTTCACCAACGAGTCCCTGCAGAAGCAGGCGTGTGAGACCCTGCGGGACTGGCTGCGCCACAAACCGGACTATGCCCACCTCCTGGAGAAGGAGCCGGAGGAAACTGTCGCAGGGACAAACCTGGGACCTTCCAAGCGTGTCCTGGGTTCCGTGCTGTCTGAGTGAGTTAGGGTTACAAGTTGGAGCCTTCAGCTGAAAGGCTTCTTGGAGGGTTGGGACTGGTCCCGGTGGGAGCGGAGGAAGCAACCCAAGGCTAGCTCTCTCCGCAGTGCCCCAGTATGCTTGTTCTCTGCTTTTCCAGCTCGCTGTTCATGGAGGTGAAAGAGCTGTTCTTGGCAGCTGTGCGCAGTAACCTCTCGACTGTGGATCCTGATGTTCAGTGTGGCCTGGGTGTCCTTTTCAACCTTAGTGGCGAGTACGAGAAGGCTGTGGATTGCTTCAGTGCCGCGCTCAGCGTGCGCCCCAATGTAAGAAAGGGCAGACTGTGGATGCTGGAGGTTTCTGGGTGAAGGTTTGGGTGGAGGTGCTGCTTGTATGAGAGGTACAGCTTTGGAGTGGAGAGATAAGACAGACACGTGGGGAAGGGAGGGTTGGCTTGGAGATGAAAAAGATCCAGTTTATCTCAGCCCTTTTTCTCTGCTCCTCACCTTCAGGACCATCTTCTATGGAACAAGCTGGGTGCTACCCTGGCCAATGGGAATCGGAGTGAGGAAGCTGTGGCCGCGTATCGTCGGGCACTGGAGCTCCAGCCAGGATACATCCGCTCTCGCTACAACTTGGGCATCAGTTGCATCAACTTAGGCGCCCACCGGTGAGCATAGGATGGGCAGGGTCTGCTGTGACCCATGAGTGTGCATGTGTTTGTGGGAGAGACTACTGGGGCAGCGCCACGCTGCCTGCAGCCTTCCCTTGGCATAGGACAGTAGGGTGAGTCTGTGGATTCTGCCCTGAGAACGGTGTCGTGCAGATGCAGTTGGAGTAGGGGCCACCTGGACTTCAGTTTCTGTTAAAAGGGAAAAGGGGGATCTCTGGTTCTGCAGCAGGGCAAGATGTGGTGAAGAAGAAGAAACTGTTTTGGAGGGGAGGTACTTTAGAAGCAAATGGGAGAAGGGGTACGAGATGTACCATCTTCTCCAGTAAGCATGTGTGTGTTCTCATGTTGACAGTGAGGCTGTGGAGCACTTCTTAGAGGCTTTGCACATGCAGCAGAAGAGCCGAGGTCCTCGGGGGCAGCAAGGCGCTATGTCTGACAACATCTGGAGCACCCTGCGCATGGCCCTCTCCATGCTGGGGCAGAGTGACCTGTACGGGGCAGCGGATGCCCGTGATCTGCCCACATTGCTTCAGGCATTTGGCCTCCAGCAGTGACTCTGGGACGGGCTCCCCTGTGAGTGCGGGGTTGGCCCAGCCCAGCGGTGACCTTCCTTAGAGAGAACACGTTCCCTAGGGCTCACACATATCTTTGCTCTGGTAGGGCAGATCATTGGCAACTGTTTTTTCAAGGACCTCCTGC